AAAAAAAAAAAAAAAATTGAAACATTAAAGTTTCCAAATAAAATCATAGATATTAAGAGAACAATGAATTAAAATAATGCGTATATAGAATATATGAATATTTTTATTTATTAAAAAAAAAAAAAAAAAAAAAAATTTAAAACAAATAAAATATAGAATACTAATTCTTTTGTATAGAAAAAAATTATAAAATAATGGTAGCATTAAACTTCAAATGTGAAATTTAATTATATATAATTAAAAGTAACGCATGAACATTAAATATAAACATATATATATATTTATGTTTATATTTATATGTTTCTTAAAATTTTATTTTTTTTTTTTAATTTTTATTTAACAATTCACATAAACAGTAGAATCAAATAAATAATAATATGAATAAATCTTCCATTGAAGGTGATGATTTTATAGTAACTGATAAATTTTTGAGTGATGAAAGTTCGGAAGAGAATGAAAAAGAACCTCTTGAAAAAAATATATCAGGAGTTAAAAATACCAACATTTATAAAAGTAAGAAAAGCAAGCTACAAAATGTTTTTTCAAATATTTATGATACAAATAATACTTTAAATGAGAAACCACAAAAAATTATAAAAAATATATCAGATTATATTGGAAAGGATATTAATTCAAATAATTTAAACATTAGTAATGAAACAGGGAACTGTTTTAATTTTGAAGACCATTTATTTGGTAACAATAATTTAAATAATGAAAAAGAGGAAAAAAAAAAAAAAAAAAAAGCCAACAAAGTATGGTATGATTCTGATGATGAATTATATGAAACAAATTTTGAGAATTATGAGCAAAATGAAAATTTTGTAATAGAAAATGAAGAAAATTTAATTGAAAATGAAGAAGAAAATCAAAATATATTTGAAAAATACATTGAAAAAGTTAAAATAGAAATATTTCAAGAAAATGAAAACAATTCTGTATCTAATATGCAAACTGATGATATTTACATTTTCGATGATAAAGAAATAAATATGCAAATACAAAAAAGAAGAAAAAGAAATAAAACAAGTGAAAATAATATATTTTTAAAATATTATTTACAACAATTCACTATAAATCAAATAGATGAAAAAAAAATTAAACAAATAGTCACTTTACCAAAAAGTAATTTAATACTACCTGTTTACAATTTAAATTTGTATATGCTTCAATATAAAGATAAGCAATTAAATATTCAGAAGAAAATATCATTTAATAGAAAAATTAAATATGTAGAAGAATTTAATGGAAATTTATATATTTTATCGTTTGATAATTTTATTAGAAATTATAATATAGAAAAAGGGTAATATATATATATATTTATGTTATATTCTACTCCTTTTAATATTAATTTAAAATTATTATTCAATATATTTAATGTTATTTATGAGTAAAATAATATATTTTGTTTAGTAATATTTTCTTTAGTAATATTTTGTTTATAAAGTGATTTTAATAATAATATTTTCCTTTATTTATTTATATATATTTTTTTTTATATTTAAAATTTTTTTTTTTTTTTTTCAGAATCGTGTACAAAAATAGAATTCATTATGATAAATTAACAATTTCTTTACCAAAAGAAATAAAATTTTTTGATAATAATAATACGGGAGATATAGATAATTGTAATTCAAATTTATTTTCTATATCTTTTAGTAAAAGTGGAAAGATAAACTTATATGATAAAAGAAGTTTTGATATTATTAAAACATTTGAGATGGACCATAATTATATTGGTATGCATTTTCATCAAAAAAGTAACAGTCTCTTTGCATTAGATGAAAAAGGATATTTATATAACTGGTGTTTAAATACAAATAAATTAGTTAATAAATTAATGGATAATTATTCCGTATTCCCATCTTTTTTAAATATACATGATGATTACTTAGTCACTTGTTCTTTCAATGGATTTCTTAATTTATTTAATATTAATAATTTAAAAAAACCTATAAAGAGCTTCAAGAATTTAACACTTAGAATAAATAACGCGATTTTTAATCCATCTCATAATTGTTTATTATATTACACAAATTCCTTAAAAAATGGGATTAAATTAATCGATTTAAAAACAAATTATATATATTGTAACATACCTTGGTTTAATTCAAACATAAAATATAATATATATGCTGCTAATTTTTTTAATAATGGTAATAATCTTTGTTTTGCTGTTAAACCTAATTCTTTTTATGTCTATGATATTTTTAATGAAGATTAATTTTTTTTTTTTTTTTTGTTTTTAATTTCAATAATATATTTATGTTGAATTTTTGTGCTTTCTTATTTTCATTTTTAGCTTTTAAAAAAAAAAAAAAAAAAAAAGTTAATACTTTTTATATATTTCTAAATTTTTTTCATTCAAAATGTATTTATTAGAAATAATTCATTTTTCTCTATAATTTTCTTAAATATTATTTAACTTTTAATGAATTTTAGTTGCATTCATTGTATTTGACTTATTTTTTATATGAAATATTATATGATTATACATTTACATACATATATAAATATAAATTAAAAGAATAATTAATCTTTTGCAGATAAAAATTAAAGATAATATTTTATAAAAATATTTATTTTATATAAAAATGAAAAATTATGCAATATATACCCAAAAGCATATAGATATATTGTTGTAGCATTTATAGTTCTAATCGTACATATAAATATGAAAAAAAAAAATTTATTCATAATGATAAATATATTTTATTTCTGTTATGATTCAATAAAATAATTATTCTTTATGTAATTTCAAAATACAATTAATAAAATTTTTAAGGTAATATTTATTGAATTATAATTTAGCTAAAATTTTAGATATTGCTATTTTCATCTTTTAATGTATATATTTTATTAAAACTTTATAACTTGCCTTTTTTGTTGAAAAATATAATAAAAAACTAAAATATTACTTTTTTTTTTTTTTTTTTATAAGTATATAATTAAATATATAAATGCTACAAGTGATTCATTAAATAGAAAACATTTAAGTAATGACATTTTTAATAACACTGTAAAACATGCATAAAAAAAATATTTTTACTGAACATTTAAAAAAAAAAATAATTTTTAGAAGAATATTAACTCTTTTTTATTTAACTTAAAATTTTTTTTTAGTATTAGTTTTACTTTTATTATTTCTCATGTTGAATTTATTCTTTTTAATTTAATTTACATAAAAATATTAAAAATCATTGTATCTTTTTTTTTTTTTTTTTAAATAGTAGAATTAAAGAATACACATATTTACACTTTTTTAAAAGAAACATTTATATACAAAATATCAATAATTTCTTTTGTTTATTTCTTAAAATTTTTATGATGTGTAAATATTACTATATGTAAAAAAAGTTATTTTTTACATATTTTTAATTCACACAAATGTAATTTGTAAAATTTTTTTATTAAATAAAACATTTTTTTTTTTTTTTTTTTATTTTTTTTAAAATGCTTTAAAATATTATTTTATTAAAAAAAAAAAAAAACTTTATATATACATTTATATGTATCATCTGAAAATAAATAAAACAAATTCATTTTTTTTTTTTCCTTTATCTTTTTATTTTTTTTTAAGTTAACATATATTGTAAAAAAAAAAAAGAATAAAATAATAATATTTCAAACACATTCAAAACTTTTTTTTTTTTCTAAGAAATTAATTTCATATTTTTTTTTTTTTTTTTTTTTTATAAGAATTTTTAATTTTCTTATATTATTTTTTTAATAAAATGTCTGAAGTAAATGTAACAAAAGTTATAGTAAATAATCCTATATGTGACATTTTAGACCCTTTTGTTTTTACTATTGAATTTGAAGCATTAAACAAATTAGAAGCAGATCTTGAATGGAAAATTTTTTATATTTCAGCTGTGAATAATGAAGGAGAAAGTAATCAAGATATTGAACTAGATAATATTTTTTTAGGGCCTATTGAAAGAGGAGTGATGATGTTTGACTATGCAGTTAACCCACCAGATTATAAAAATGTAAAAAAAATAAAAATAACAATTAACTAAAGAATAACAAAAAAAAAAAAAAAAAAAAAAAAAAAAAAGATAAATTATATAAAATTGAACATTTTACATAGTTTCATTTCAAATTACATGTACTATACAGAAAATATATTTTTTTCTCTTATTTTTGCTGACTTTATGCATAAAAAAAATTAATTTTTTTTTTTTTTTTTTTTTTTTTTGGATTTTAGATGGATATTGATAGTGTTTTAGGGTTGCAAGCCATATTAATATCAGCAAATTATAAAGAAAAAGAATTTATAAGAATTGCATATTATATGAATGCTTTTTATAAAGATATTGAATTAAGAGAAAAGCCTCCTTTAATACCTCAATATGATAAAATATGCAGACATATATTTGTTGAAAATCCACGTATAGTAAAATTTAACATTGGTTGGGATTCCGGAGAAAAAGATGAATTTAAAGAATTTGATAAAGAAAATGAAAAAATTGAATTTTTTAAATGCACTAAAGTTAAAGATGAAAATGAATGTAGCTCAAATATAACTAATCAATCTACCCAAGAAAATTTTAATATTTCTAATAATAATAATGGTAATTCCTATATATCATCAAATTTTAATATCAATAGTCATAATGTAAATAATTATAATCAAAATAATTTTTTAAAAAATAATGAACAATCAAACGATTTAGATAAGTGTGAAATTTTTAATGCAAATTTAAATGGAATTAGTAGAATAACTATAGACAACAAAAACAACTAATTTTATACATACAAAAATTATTTTTATAATTATATTATGTTTTGTATCTATATATATATATAGAACAATTATAAATGTTAAATTACATATATATGAATATATTTCATAGTATTTTATTGATAACAATTTTAATATTTATATTTTAAAAAATAATAAAGTTTATAAATTATAATTAATGTAATACTATGATGTAATATTATATACACATGAAAGATACATAAAAGCTTTTTTTTTTGTTTTATGATTAAAAATATATGAATATTTATCAAAACACTTGTCAAAATTTTTAAATAATATTTTAAAATAAAATAAAAATTGTATTGTTAAAATTCTAAATGGCTGTATGTGTTTTTGTGATAAATATATGTATTTTATTTTTTTTACATATATATATATATATATATATATATATATATATATATTCTTTAATATGTATACATATACATTTTTTATTTTTCTCTTATTAATTTTTAGATTGAAAAAAAAAAAATAAATAAAATAATAAAGATTTTAGAATTTTTTTTTTTTAAAGAATATTTCTATGGGAAATTAAAAAAAATAAAAATAAATAAATAAAATGAGAAAAATGTTTAGTCAACGAAATTAAAAAAAAAAAAAAAAAAAATACACTTTTAAAAAAAGTTCCATAACTAACTATTAAGACAAAACAACTTTGAATATATGCATACATGTGCATATAAGAATCAATTTTTTATTATTTTTATATTTTCTTAAATATATATAAATTTCTTTTATAATTAAAAAACTATATATTTTTCTAATGTATTTTATATTTATATATTTTATAAAAGTTTTATTTTTATTCTACATAATATCTATATTAAAGAATTTTTTATATAAAGAATTATATATATATATATATATATAATTTAAAAAAAAAAAAAAAATTTGTTGTAGTTCTTCATTATACATTTTATATATATACATACAACTCTTAAACTTCAAAAGCTTTTTTACATTTTTATGTATTTTCTTTTTTATAACAAATTAGTTTTGCTTCAAAAAATAAAACACTTTATGTTATAAAGTTTTTTTTTTTTTTTTTTTTTTTTTTAAATTATTACAAAAAATAAAAAATACATCAAAATTTATTTTTATGTATTAAAAATGTAATAAAAATAAAGTTTAAAAAAGTTTTAAAATAATCACAAATATTCTTATTTTACATATTTATATATTAATTTACACGAAACATTGTTTACCATTGATGGTAAATATATTTCTTCAGAAGAAAAATTACCTATACAAGTCATTTTTTTTAATATGTTTAAAATAAAACTCATAAAAAGGGTAACGTAATCTATCCCATATGTTTGACAAACTATCCATAGCTGGTCTAACATCAATATATATCTATAAAAAAAAAAAAAATATTTATAGAATTTATTATTTTTTTTATGTTTCTTTATACTTAAATATTATAAATAATTATTTATTTATATTTTAATTTACATTTTTATCATCATTTATTGATTCATCATTATAATAATCTAATATGTATTTTATTTGAGTTCCACATCTATCAATAAACCAATCATGTCTATCAAAAGGTTTCCCTAATCTATTAAAAAAAAAAAAAATTGATTTGCTTTATTAAATAAAAAGTAAAAATTCAATAGAGCAAATTTTCTTTACAAAAACTAGGTTAAAAAAAAAAAAAAATTTCTTAACAACTTGTTATATAATTTTCTATACCTTGAAAAAATACTTCTAAATCTTGCCTTTATTGATAATTCATCAGATTTTCCAACGAATCTATGTAAGGTTACGTTGCTGCATTTTCTAATTATTTAAAATAAAAAATACATAATATTTATATATATATATATAGTATACATATTATGGTTATAAAAAAATATAATTATATCTAATATAATATAAAAAGATTTATATTTTTGTGCTTTATAATTACTTCAATTAAAAATAGAAACAAAGTTATGCATATTTATCATAAAATATAAAATCATATAAAAAAAAAATAATATAAAGTTATAAAAAAATAAAAAATATATACACAACAAAAGTATATTATTTGTATTTAATTTTTAAGAAAAAAAAAAAAAAAAGGAAAATGTACAATTAAGCATATATATAAAAAATTATTTACTTTTTGTGCATAAGTTCATATTTCAAAATATGTTTCCAAGATTCTTCATTAATTTCATTATGTATACTAACAACAGCATCAATATAATCTTTCTCAACATCTTTATTTTTTCTCAATAATGAATTATAAAATTGTTGAGATGATGGATATAACCAATATTCTTCATTATTTTTTGGTATAGAAGAAATGTGCCTTTTTTTACTTAATGAGAAATTGTCATCTTTATTTAATGAGTAATTTGGTATTTCAGGCATCATATTCCTTTTATTAATTTCTATAAAAAATAAAAAAGGAATTATATATGTGTCAATATATATATATATATATATTTTGAATTTTGTAAATCCATTTTTTAATTTTTATATACATATAGTTTTAATTTTAATTTATTACTTTCAACAATTTCAAATGTACTAGAATCCTCCACTTTTGAAGGGCATTTTACTTTTTCATCATTTGAATTAGTATCATTTGTTCTACCTATATTCAGCATATTAATTTATCTTTGTTTTATAAATATCTTTTAATGTTAAATTTATTTTTTGCTTTTAAAATTTCTAAGATATTTTTTTCTGGAAAATAATATTTTTATTTATTTTAAATTTATAGGATATATATTTTTAGTCATCTTATTAATTTTTATATATTTTTTTTTTTTTTTTAGCTTATTTAAAAAATATTCAATTTTATCTGTTAATCTTCACTTAAAAAAAATAAATAAAAAAAATTTATTATTTGAAATAAGTAAACTTTTAAATTTGAGAAACAAACAAGAATTTCTTAGTAAAAACTTTAAATAAAATGAAAGTTTTTTCTTTTCTTTTTTTTTTTTAAATTTTTAAGGATCAAATTTTGCAGTTTACTGCAACTAAAACAACGTGTAATTTTAAATTAACAAAAGGTTATATTTTTCGTTTATTAAAAGCCCTTAAAAATAAAAAAAAATTGAACAAATATTCTATATATATATATATAAATTTTACACTAGGATTTTTAAAAAATAATTTTAAAATTAAATCACATATTTTTTTATTTATTATAAAAAGAAAGTGATTGGAAATGAATTAAATACTATATATAGTTTCTTTTTAAACGGAAAAAAAAAAAAAAAAAATGAATTAAAATTTACTAAATATTTAATTTTTTTTTTTTTCAGTTTATATATCAGATTATTATTAACCCAATTTTTCAAGAATTTTGGATTATTAATGCAAAAAAACAATACAAACTTTTTTAAAGAAATAACTAAATAAAAATAAAATTAGAAATAATTGAAAAGTAAATATTTTTAAAAACTTTGACAAAAAAAAAAATATATATATATATATGTATATATAATAAAAAATAAAATAACAAATAAATAATAAAAAAATGTGATTAACTTAAAGTTCATTTAATTTATAAATTTTAGTTAATAAATATCAAAAAAATGAATAAATTAAATCCTTCAATATACAAAAATATTTAAAAATATAATAAAGACTTTAATAACCAAAAAAAAAAAAAAAAAAAAAAAATATGTTATTCTATTATAAATGTATTCATCTTATCTCATATAACTTGTACACTTTTTTTTTTTTTAAATAAAATATCTATATTTTTATCTTTTGCATAAGATAATAAAATTTCTTTATTAACATTTAATTTACAATCTATGAGATATTTTTTTAAAATACTATATTCTATTTTTTTTTCATCATGTATGTTTTTATGTAAAATGTCATTTATACTAATTGCTTCATCTATCCTTTCAAATAGGGATTTTAATTCCATTTTTCTTATTTTAGTACGCATATGATTTATGTAATCATCTTGCAATTTTTCTTGATTACTTTCTAATAAATCGTTATAAGGATAATTACTACTTTCTTTAAAACTGGTTCTCTCTGAATAAAACTTTCTTTTTTTCATATGCTTTAGGTCATTATCAATATTCATATTGTTACTATTATTATTAACATCATAATTATAAGAAAATTTACTATTTTTAAAGCTATTTGTACATAAATTATCTTCACAAGAACTTTCTTTATGAGATGCTATATGATCTTTTAAAACAACTGTTTCTTCTTTATCTTTTAACAATTTATCGTATTCTTCGTTTAAATAATCTTGTATTTTTTTTAATTCATTGATAATTATTTTTCTTGATAACCTTTTGCTTTTTAAACCAAAAAACTCCATTAGTCCCTCGAGTATCACATTATTTGCTTTATTTAGATCAATGTTTAAAATTGACAACTCACTTTCTTTTTTATCTTCTATATTTATATTTCCTTTCTTTTTATTCTTTTTCTTATATTTTTCATATATATCTGTATTATTTGTCTTGATAAGACATTCAGAACTGTTTAACTTATTTATACTAATTTTACTTTTATCACATAAATTATCACTATCTATATTATCCAAAACATAAAATTCCATTTTTTCTTTATCTAATGATTTATTATTATTATTATTTTTCACATATTGTTGTTTATCTGAAACAAAATTGCTTTTTAAACTTTCTTTCTTTAGTTCATTTTTATTACTATTGTTAACTTCTGTGCTACCAGCATTTATTGAAATATCGTCATCTAAAATTATAACTTCATTATTTGATGTTTCTTCAAGAAAACCTTTCAAATTACAATTATTAAAAATTTCATTTTTTTCGTTTACATCTTCATTAAAGAAATGAATATTTGTAGTTGACTTAATTTTCTTATTTTTATTATCATTTTTATCTTCTTCCTTTTCACATAAGCAGCTTTTTAAAGAATTACTACTATCGTGTTCTTTATTATAAAATTTTGAATCATCCTTTTTGTTGATCACACTAGATTTTTTATTTTTTTCATAATTTTTCTTTACACTAATAAAAATACTACTGTCACTATCTTCACATGTTTTAAAACTTCTTGAGTCTTCATTCTGAGAATTTTTATTATAAGTGTCCTCATTGATAATAATATTATTTTTATTAATCAAAATGTTATTTTTATTTTTGTTATCTATATTAATTTTATCTCTTCCACAACAACTTTTATTGTTACTACTATTATTATCAATTTCATTCATTTCAATTTTGCAATCATCATTTTCATTAGTTCTATTATTATCATTCTCATTTTTATAATAAGAATTTTTAATATTATCATCTGCTATATATTCATAATTTTTTAATTTATAATCAATAATTTTTTTTTCCTCAATCTCTTCTTCTGTCTTTAAAAGTTCACTACTTAGGTTATCGTGGTCTTTATAATGAATATTAAACTTATCCAAATCTTTTTTACATTCATTTTCATTTTTATCATTATTATCATTTTTTAGTTTTATTGATTGAAAAGAAAAATTATTGTTTTCTTGATTACTCTTAGAAATACTATCCTTAATTATGTAATTTTGGTCATCTATGTCATTTTCTTTATTTATTTCCTTATCTCTAATATATATGCTTTTTTCTTTATATGGATTATAATTTTGTAAATTTTCATCATCATTATTATAAGAATCATGATTTATCAACTTTTCAGAAACATCACCTGATGATACATCTATGTTTTCTTTATTTAATACATTTTCACAATTTTTCTCATTTATATCCTTAATATCTGATGAACAATTACTGCAAATATTACCCTTCTTTTTAAATATATCTTGTGAAGAATATTCATTTTCATCTGTTGCACTTTTATTTATATTAGAAAATAATAAATTGAAATTTTTTTCACTTAAGTCTAAATCATTATTTGATTCATTATTATTTTCATGTTCAACATCTATTATTTTTTCTATTTCATTAATATTCTTGCTAGATATACAAAATTTATCACCCTTATTTTTATTTTCATAAAAATATTCAGAGTTACTTGTATTTATTTCTTCATAGGTTTCAACTTCATCTTGACGACTTGAAATTTCATATAATTCCTTAGAATCCATAACATTGCTTAAATTTATAATTGTATCAGAGTTATTTTCATTTAATATATTTTTTTTTTCATTTTTATGATCTTTATTATAAAGGAATAACTTAAGATTTGTATTTTTATTTGATTCATTAAAATTTCTGTAATTTTGTTTGTTTGAATTACATGATTTAATTGTACTCTCTATAATATTTATATTTTCATCCTTTTTTATAATGTCACATTTATTATGTATATAATGCAATGATGGATTTTTTTTTTTTGTAGTACCTAAAATATATTCCAATTTTCTATTATTATATGCAATACAATTTTTATTCCCATAATTATTTTCAAAATTTTTTGATTTTGTTTCATCATTTTTTTCATTGTAAATATATATTGTATCAAATGAAACTATTTCATTATTTACTATAATATTTTTTTCTATGCAATATTGTGATAATTTATATAAAGAGCTTTGACTTTTAAAGAAACTTAAATCTTCTTTATATAAATTATCATAAGATTCATCATTTATCACTTTCTTTTTTACTTCATTACCATTTTCCTTTTCCTCATTCTTATTTTTATTCTCTATATTAATGTCATTAAAAGAATTTAACATTTTAAAAAGATCCATTAATTTAGAATTTAATTTTATATCATTGCTACAACATGTATTATATATATCTAGTTTTAATAACTTCATAAAAATAGGGCAGAAATTGTTATTTTCAAAAAATGCACCAGGAATTATAACTTTGCTAAAAATATCATCCATAATATTATTTTTTTTTTTTTTTTCGTATACTTTCAATAATGTATTTTTAATACTATATATAAAACCATTCACATCATTTTCTGAGGTACTTTTTATGTAACTTTTTGTATCGTTATTACCATTGTAGTTATTATTACATAAATTACTATCACCATTATTGATATTATCTGTATTTAAACTGCTACTTTTGCTTCTATTTATTTCAAGTTTGCAGTTATCATCGTCATTATTATTTGAATTGTTTCTGTTGTATTTGTTTATTTCATCATAATTGTCTATGTTATATTTATTAATGTTAATATCATTAATTTCACAATTCCCCTTATCCTGAAATTCCTTGGTTATATCTTTATTAAAATGATTTGATTCATCACAGAAAATAGTACTTTCATCTGATATTTTATTATTTGAAAAATATTTACTCTTTATAATATATTTGTCTTCATTGTCAGAAGTTAATTTTTCATTTTCTGAAAAACTGTTTGTATGATTGTTATAAATTAACTTTCTATATAACTCATAATCGCCAAAATGTAGGGGATTTACTGAATTTAAATTTAAATCACTCATACATTTTTGTAAACAATCAATTAAGTATGCTTCTTGTATTTTATAAGCTCTAATTTTATTTTTAACTCTTAATAATTTCCTTATAATATTTTTATAAAATTCATCTAAAGATTCTCTATCCTTTGGTTTTTTAAGCCATATTGGCACTTTTATATTATTTTTCCATCTTTGAATATCATTATAAAAGTAAATATCGCTTTCATTACTTGAACTATAATAATTTTTAAATGACTTTAAATTAATTTTTTTTTTATTAATTTTTTTTTTTATTTTTATTTTTGTGTCCTTTTTTATTTTGTCCTTCTTATTCATAATATTATTTTTTGTTATGTGCATATTTTTTTTTATAATAAATATAAATAACTTATAGCATTTAAAAAAGATTTTTTAATACTTCATAATATTTAATTATATAAATATACAGTAATATCTATAATATATTTTTAATTTCGTTTTTCTTTTTAAGATAATGGTATCTTCTAACTTACAATTCAATATTTAGGATTTAATTCATTTTATCACTTATTAGAAAAAAAAAAAAGAGGATCTTTCATTTCAATTAAGTTACACTCATTTATAAAGTATTTAATTAAAATTTTACTCTTTATATTTAAATAATTTTATAGTATAAATAGAATGGGAACATGCGTAATTATACAATTCGTAAAAAAAAAAAAAAAAAAAGGAAATTATTTTATGCTAACTTCTAGTTATTCTATATAATTCAAGATTTATAATTCAAAGAGAAAAAAAAAATTATGAATGTGTTAATAAATTTTAAGAAAAAAAAGGAAAAATTAATATAATAGAAGGTGACTGAACATAAAAATTTAAATATTAATATGCACAAGTAAAATAAAACAATTAAAAATAAAAAAATATATACAATATGAAAAAAAGTGTGATATAAATTTTTATAACTCTTTAAATTTTATTTTAATTATCTATTCACATATTTTTTCTTATTTTTCTTTTTTTTTCTCCTTCTATTTTTTTTTCTTATAATTTTTTTTTTTTTTGTATTTTTTTTAACTGTAAAAAAATATTTAGAAGAAAAATTTAATTAAACTTCACTATTAAAATAAAATAATTCTATACTACGAATAATTTTTTAATAATTTTTTTTTTTTTTTTTTTCTTTATATATGTGTGTGTAAATAATAATATCTATTTAATGTTAAAAAAGAATAATATTTATAATACTATTAATTAAAAAAGATTTACAGGAACATGAACTTATAAAACTTCCTATTTAGTTTTTTTTGCTTATTGATGAAATAATGGAATGTATTTTTTTAAAATGACTAGTAGTTCATTAGATACAAAAAAATGTTTAAATTCAATTTTATTTGTTATGAAATTAAGAAATTTTAATAAATGGTTAATTAAAAAGAATGAAATCAATCATATTTGTAAAAGGAATTTTGGGGTATCAGGAAGTTACGGTTATAGTATTTTTGCAAAAGAAGGGAATAATGATTCAAATGTGAATAAAAATAATTTGCATCAATATGAAGAAAAATATATAGTTAATGATTTAATAAAAAAAAAAAATTTTTATTTTACAAAATGGCCAGGACAAGTATCAAAATTGGGAGCTTCTTACTTTTTTAATAAAAATTATAACATGGGATTTTATCATATGCTTATAGAAGAAGAAGATAAAATTAAGAAGGATATCGCTTTAATATCAAGTTGCAACGAAAAAAGTATTCAAAATAAAAAAATTGAGAACAAAATGAAAGATTTAACATGTGGATACTCTGTTCAAATTGTTTTATCTGGTAAAGGTGTTAAATGTTATTACGAGGATATAAATTATACTCCAATCTCGATACAATACAGGAATAACATAAAACAGTATTATAATTTTAAAAATCCATTAAAGGAATTACAAATGCTAAATGATAATACTCATAAAAATGTTGAGGAAAATAAAAATAATAAAGAAAATAAAACTTCAATGGAAGAGAAAGATAATAGTTATAAAACAAAAAAAGTTAAAAAACTATTTGTCCGTTTAGGTATCGGAACAAAAAATATTGATATTACAAGAATATTAACTATGCATAAAAAATATGTAAATATACACGTTGATAAAACCGGTACAATAATAAATGTTTATGGGTATAATAAAAAATATGTAGGATCAGTTTCTCATAGATTATATAAAATTGTAAAAATGAATGTATATACCATGAAAGGTGGTTATGTATATCTGCATAAACCTAAGCAGAAAATTCCGAAAAAGAAATAAAAAAAAAAAAAAAAAAAGCTTTTAAATAATAAAATTTTATTTTAACATATTTGGGAAATCATATATGTAAATTAGTATTTAATAAAAATGTTATTAATATATTTTTTTAAATAAAATTTTAATTAATTTTTAATATAAATATTAAAAAAAAAAAAAAAAAAAGAAATTAATAAAACTAATGAAAAATAAATAATATTCGAATATATGAACATATTTGTGTATGAAAACAGTTTTACATAAAATATATGAAGTGCGGAATATATTTTATGTAACCTTATAAAAATTTTGTATTATGCATATTTAAAATATTTTAAATTGAATTAAAATTAATATAGTAATAATATAGTTCTATAAATCATAAGTTGGGAATCATTATAATTTTTATCTGATTAAATATAAAAATTTTTGGCATTTATTTTTCTTTAAAATAGTGTAAGCATTATTCATACTTATTATTAATATACAATTTCTAGAAGATATATACAAATGAATAGTTTCATAATCCTAAAAGAAATAAATGTATTTTTATTTAAATTTGTTTATAATACTACTTACGAAAAAATGCAATTCCTTTAGTTTTCTTTATTTTACATCTCTTCTTTTTTTTTTTCTTTCCTTTTTAACTTTTTTTTTAACTTACATAATTCATTTTTTTTTTTTTTTAAATTTAATACAATAATCTAAAAAATTCCTTAATTTCTCTTCAATTAAAATATCATAAGGATTCTTTTTCATTTTTTAATTTTTCTTGTAATTCCTTTTTTTTTTGAGCTTTTACTGGATCATAATACAAAACTACCAAGTATCTTCCTGCTACATTAAATCCTGATAAATGATCTAAAGCATTTTTAGCATCATATATATCATCATAAACAACAAAAGAAGTCCCTTTTGTTCCTTCAGAATTTCCTTTTCTTATTTGTCTAACAGTACCATATTTTCCAAAAATATCATATAACTCATCAGCTGATATCTTATATGGTAAATTTCTAAATAAAAAATAAAATAAAAAATACTTTAAATACTCATATATACGAATTAATTTATATAATTATGTAATATTATATTTATATATCTAAATATATTTATTTAACATAATTATGGTAATAAAATACTCTATTAATATATTTGTGTAATGATATATATGTTTAGATATATTTTAATATCATTTAAATAAAAAATATGTAATACCTAACATAAAGAATTCTACTAACTTCTGGAGGTAAACGTATACTTCTCCTAGACATTGAAAATTGGTTTAAAAAAAAAAAAAGTTTAAAAAAATAAATGGTTAAAAAAAATTAAGAAATGAAAAAATAATAAAATGAAAACTTTAATTTTTTAATGAAAATATTTATATCAAACAATTTTAAATAATTAAAAAAATAATATAGTATCTAAAATTTTCTTTTAAATTTTAATATTTTAAATTATTTACAAAAAAAAAAAAAAAAAATTATTTCAATATATTTAAGTGTATAAATATAGAAATATATTTCAAATTTAATCTTTTCATATTATTTATTAATATCAAAATATATATAAATTTGAATTAAAAAACAATTGAATAAATTCATTAAAATAAAAACTTTTATACTAGAAAAAAAAAAAATATATATATATATAAAATAAAATTTTTAATAAAAAAAAAAGATGTTTAAATTTAAATGATTAATTTAAAAATAGAATATTATTATGAAAAATCATTTTTACTTAATAAAAAAGCATAAACAAAGAAATACTTTAAAAGTTTATATAGTTTTTTTTTTTTTTTTTTCTTTTTTTTTTTTTGTAAATTATTAATGATAGTAAATTTTTAAATTTATTAAAAAACTAAAAAACACAAAGAATTGAAAAACAATATGAGAAAAAAGAAATATTTGAGTTTAATTAAAACAAAATGAATATTAATATTATGTAGATATTTGTGCAAATTAAAAATATTTTTAATGTAATTAAAATTTATTAAAAACAAAATTATAATAAAGCAAAAAATAAAATTATTTTTTTATCTTAATAATTTCGACAAATACTGATAAAGATCATTCTTGTTTTGAATATTATTTAACTTATCTGAACACACGGGAATCAAATTAATTCTATAAAGATATAAAAATAAAATAAAATTATATAATAAATAATAATATAGAAATAACTATATGTATATATATAATTAAATAATATCAATAATGATTTTAACATTAATAATGTAAAATCAATTAAATTAAAAAGATATATTATTAGAGAATATTTTATAAGTTTTATTTCTTTTTGTTTCTATTACTCTTTTAGAAATTTTCTACTTAAAATAATTTGAACTAAAAATAAATTTAAAGCCATTTCACTTTTAAAAAATGTTTGCTCACCGCCTTCTATGGGATTTATATTTTTTTTGTTTTTCACCAATGAACTTAAGTTAAAGTAAGAATATAGGAAAAAAAAAATAGTTTTGATATTTGTACAAATTCCTTCATAAAATTCAACCATAATTATATGATTATGAAATAATTCAATTTTATTTACATTTACTATTTTTATATTGTTTTTGAATAATACACTATTCATTTTTTTCTTTAACTTAAATTTATCTTTGAATTTTTTTTTTTTTTTTTTTTTTTCATTTTTTTTCTTCATTAATCTCATCTTTAAGTAAATAAAAGATAAATAAAGTTTGTGAGAACTATTTTGTAAATAGCTATATTCTTCATAAATGTTGTGATGAATGATATTCTTATAGAAACTATAATTTTTAAAAAAATAATTATCTTCAAATGAAAACTTATTTTTTAATTTATATTTATATCTTGTTTGAGAAATACATGGAAAATTTAATAAATTTATATAAGATTTATGACACTCTAATTTATTATTTTTATTAATTAAACTACTACTTCCTTCAATATCTTTTTTTTTTTTATCATTTATTGATAAACTTAATAAATTTAATTTTTCATTCTGATTTATTTGTTCACTTTGAGTATAATCAAAATAATTTTTAAAAGTTTTTTTGTCACCTATATTTTTAGACATTATATTTTTCCAGTACATTAATATATGAAAATAATTTTTAAATAATTTAAAAAATACATATTTTAATGAATTGATGCATAAAATAAACTTAATATATAAATGATAATTTAAATTGATTATTTTGGGCTTTTTTAAAAGAATCATTTTATCAAGTATAAATATTATTAATTTTTCATAAATAGAAGAATCAATTTTTTTAAATTGATTATTTATAAAATATCTAACAGATATAATAATCGTACTAAACAATAATTCTATTAAATTATTTGGTTCTATATATCCTGACTTATTTGTAGACTTCATAATTAAATATTTTTTTTTCTTTTTCCATGTTCTCGTAAATTTACATATTAAAAATTTATTGTATTTATTGATGTTTTTAAAACTATTATTTAACTTAATCATATCATCAAATTTTTTTATTCTCCTTTTTATCATTTTTCTTTCTAAATTAATGAAAATCTTGTTAATATAAAGATTGTTTTTATATCTAAATTTTTCTAAATAATTGTATCCTTTGTATTTATAAGTTAAAAAGAAATTTTTTATTACATTTTTTAAACTTGACTTTTTTTTTTTTTTCTCATCATAAATAATTGAAAATAGTTGCTCTCTAGTTTCTTCGAAATATTTTGATTTTTGACATTCTAAAAAACTTTTTATCAAACTCTTTTCTATTTCATCTAAATCTAAAGAAAATAAAAATAAATAAATAATAGACAATAAATTTATAAAGTAATGATAAAAATGAATAAAAAAACTAAAGTGATATAATATATATACAAATATATACTTAAATTAGTCATTCATGCATTACAAAATGAAAATATTATATTTCTTTTTATCTTTTTATATAAAATTAAAATTTATTACTTTTTCTTTCTTCATTTTGAGAAGAATTTTCTCTTATTCTTAAGCAGTTTTTATCTAATATTATTTCATCAATTTTATATGAGCTTAAAAAATTCATCCATAAAATAAAATTATTAGTGGTAATTTTATTATTCTTTAATTGGTGTATTTTTTTCTGTAAATATAAGTGTATAGTTTTCTCACGATTTAAATAATTAAAGATATAATAATTTTTCAACATATAAAAATTACAAAAAAATATATTTTCTTCACTTTTTGTATTTAAAAATAACAAAATGTTTTGATTAATATCTTTAATTATTTTTAAAAAATAGTTGTTTGTAATTTTATTTTTTCTGCATTTCAATTTTTTATTTATATAAAAATAAGTATAACTTTTTCTTATTTTTAATGTTTTTATTTGTAATTCGTGCAAATTAGACAGTGTTTTTATTAGAGGTATTATAATTTCATTTTTAATACTAACAGAATTTTCCTGTTTTAAAAATTTCTCAAAAATTTTCTTAATTAAGATAAATATTCTCAGATCAAATGAAAATACTAAAAAATATATTTTATTGTAAGAATTATGAGAATAATAATATAATAATTTTCGTTTATTTGAATAATTATTTCTTAAAAAAAATATATAATTCTTTTTATTGTTCTCTATACTATTATTATATATTTTCTTTATACCGTTGTATTTGCTAACACTATCAATAAAAATAGTATTTTTTTTATTTGAAATTATTTTTTTTTTTATGTTAGAATAAAAGTTTTTATAAACATTACATGTTATTAAACCATTAATATAGGAGATAAAATCTACCATATTATTCAATTCTTTTAAATCTAATGAGTTTTTATAAATTTTTTTTAAAATAGATAAGGTAGAACTATTAATTAATCTAAATATTTCTTTCTGATATTTCAAATTGTTAGATATTATTATAGTGGAAGATAATATTTTATTTAACTCTTCGAATTTAATATTGTTTTTATTTAAAAGTGTGCAATATAGTGAGTTTAAAAAATCATGACTTAATTTATTAAAATGAAAATGAAAAAAAAAATAATGATAGATATTATCTAAATTTTTATAATGAGGTTTATGATTTACGAAAAAATTTGATATAAAGTGAACTGCATCTTCATTTATGAAATATTTTTTTTTTATTAATGTATTTAATAAAATTTTTATCTGTTTATCTTTTAAATATATTATTTTATTATTATTATATAAAAATCTAATTAAAAAATTTAGAATATTATTTGAGATTTTATTATTTTTAATATTTGAAAAGCTATTCATTATGTCTACTATTTGTTCATGGTTAAAATAATTTATTTTTTTTTCAATTAATAAGGTTAACATATATAAAATTTCATCATTTAAAATTTTACTTTTCTTAGAAAAGCAACTTAATGTTATTAACAAGCTTTTCTCGTCAAATTTTAAATTCATATATTTATAAGTATAATAAAAAAAATCAAATAATTTATTATTATCATTACAATTAATATTATCGTAAATTTTAATAAAAGGTATAAAAATACGTGCATTCAATTTCTTTTTCATTTTTTTTATTAATTTCAGTTGAATAATTTCAGAATTTTTTATGTTATATTTATTCAATTTATCATTTAAATTACTAGAATTTAAATTACTTAATTTATTTTTTATTTCATTACCTATATTATCAATTAATACATTATTCTTATTTATATAATTATTATTATTATTATTGTTGTCTTTGATGTTTGATTTGCTTGTTTTAGAATAATTAATTTGATTTATCTTGCTTTCATTTTCTATTTGGTATTTTCGTAGAATATCATCTCTTTTTTTATATAAATTTTTTCTCTCTTTTCTGTTAAATATTACATATTCACTTTTGACTTTTTTTAAAAAAAAACACCCTATTTTATTCTTTATATATGAAAAGAAAAATATATTTAAGCAATCATAAATATTTATAAATCTATTAATATTTCCTATTACAATTTTTTTCTTTTTTAAACATTCAATAAGAAAAAATATAAAATCTATAGAATTCTTTTTATTTTTTTTTTTTTTTTCAAAGTTTACTTTATAAAATATCTTGAAGGATTCTGAATTTATTTTATTATTTTGATTATCATTACTATATTTTTTATGAATTAAATTACTATCAAATTCTATATGTCTTTCATCTCTATTTTTAACATTTTCTTCTAATTTATTTATATTTTTATATATTTTTAAATACGAATTTAGTATATTATATAATTGATATAGAGAGAATGTGTATAACCTATGCAAAATTATAAAATTAAATTTATATAAACATAAAACGTTGTACGTATTTATATTTTTTAAATTCGAAAATACACCTATCATTGAAATTAAATCTTTATTAGAAATAGAATGCATATTTAAAAATACCAAAAATAAATAATTGAAATATTCATTATTAAAATAATCTAATTTTATAAAAATATTAGTGATTATTATTAATTTTTTTAATTCTATTACTTCTTTTTTGTATACATAATTACATATATCGTCAAATAAATTAGAATTTACATAATTATATTGTTGGCACTTACTTAGAATAACAGTTAAATTATTAACATTATTCATTTCATATTTAATTACTAATTTACTTTTTTTATTTTCATTTTTTTCAAAAGATTCCATATATTTTTTGACAGTATTAAAATTTTTTTTTTTTATAGATATATCGCTTGGATTATTATACTTTTTATTTGATACTTTTTTTTTTTTATCATATGTAAAATTATTACATATTTCATAAATGCTTTCATTATTATTTAACTTTTGTTTACAATTTTGTTCACTTTTCTTTATTAAAAAATCATTTTTTTCATTTTTATTATATTCCAGTAACTTTTTATTACTCTCCTTTTTTTCTTCATTAGTATTATTAATTATTTGTGTATTTGTATTTCCTATATTCTCTGAATTTACACTGTTTTTTTTGTTTCTTTTTTTAAAAGTGTTATCATAATTTAATTCTAATTTACTCTGTTTTTTATGCGAAAAATGTTTTATTCCATTTTGATTAATTTTTAAGTTATCATCTAATAAAAAAAGAGATTTTTCTTTTTTCGAGAATTCTATAATTTGTATTAATTCTTTATTTTTATATAAAAACGTTACTTTTTCAATATATATGTTGTTTTTATAAACTGTTTTAAAATTATTTATATGTTTTTTTTTAATGTTTTCCCTATATAATATTTTTTTTAAAAAATTTATTTTTTTTATATTATTCAACATTTTTCTTTAATTTTATTTTTATCAAGGAACAAATTTTCCTTAAATTTTCTATTATGATTTATTTAAAGCACATCTTTTCGTAATATTTACTCTTTTTTCAATTAAAAAAAAAAATTTATAGAATCCTTTACATTCTTATATATATATATATATATAATTTAAAATACATTTTCTTTTTTAAATTATGTTTTGGTTATTTTATTTTTTTTTTTTTTTTTTTAAATTACACTGGCATAAGTTATTAAACTGCTTATATTATTTTACCATTGTTTATTTTGAATTAATCTTAATATTAATTTTTTTTTATGTGATAATCTAAAATTATAGATAATTACAATATTTATTATTTTTCTTTTTCTTTTTCTTTTTTTTATTTTTTTGTATAAACTGTTGTTTAATTTTTTATAAATTCACAAATGTAAATATATATATATATAAGAGAAAATATATTAAAATGATTAAAAATGTAAAAATTTTGGCATTAATATTATTATTCTCTCAAATAGTATTAGAAAAATATACTTATTTATGTATTAAGAGAAGTAATATTTTTAATTCTAAAAGCAAGGATAAAATTTTTAATAAAACATTTGATTTATTTTTTTTTTTACATACAAGATATAAATTTAAATATGTAAATAAATTATATGAAAATAAAAAAAATATAAAAGATATAAAAGATATTATTAAAGAATCCATAAATTTACCTGTTCAGTTTTTACCAACAACATATAATAGTTTTGATAGGTGAAAAATAAAACATTAAAAAAAAATAAAAATAAAAATAATTGTTATTTTGTTAATTGTTTTATAAAATAAGAAAAATTCTTTACTATTTCATTTTATTTATTTATTTATTTATTTTTTTTTATTAACTTGTATCATTATATCATTTCTTATTTTTTAAATAGATGTTCTATATATTTTCCCCCTTTTTCATATATATTCTTTTTTTTTGTTCATAATTAAAATGTTTTTATCTTTTTTACTAGACAAATATTTATTCAAAATTTATGGAATAAAAAGCAGATATATGAAAATAGAAACTTAAAAAATATTAAAAAATGTATATATAATTATTATAATAAAGAAAAATTATTAAATAATGAAGGGTGTAAAAATAAAGAGAATAATATATTTAACAACCAAGAAACATTAATAAACGAATTTATCCAAGAGAAGAAAATCTTAATTAACTTTAGAAAAGAAAATGTCTTGAAATATATTGAAAAAGAAATTATAACAAAAAATAATAATCGTACTTTTTTAAATAAATTTCAAGAGATAATAGAAGATAATAACAAAAAAAAGACATACATAGAAAAGAATAAAAAAAATATTATATTAAAATTATACGAGAAAATAATAAAAAAAATAAAAATTATACATGATGGGCCACCATATGCAAATAATGATATACATATAGGGCATATATTAAATAAAATAATCAAAGATATATATTTAAAATTTCTTTTATTTCAAAATTTTTTTGTTTTACTTATTCATGGTTTTGATACTCATGGATTACCTATTGAATACAATGCATTGAAACTATTAAAAATAAACAATATAGAGGAATTAAATTTAAACTCATATCCTATAGGAAAAGCATATATAAAAGAACACAAATTTAAAATAGACATATTGAATAAAATAAAAAATGAATCTCAAAAGAAAGATTTTTTTCTTCTTAGTTTATTTAATAAAATTAAATCAATCAAAAATGATGTATTGCAAAAAAAGATTAAATATTTTAAAAATTTATGTAGATGTTATTCATCTTATTTTGTAAATGAACAATTAATATCTTTAATTTCTTATGGTATATGGGGGTATTGGAATTATTCATATATCACATTTTATAAGTTATATGAAAAAATTCAATATAAGGTTTTTCAGAATCTTTTAAAACATGTAAATTAATAGAATTTTTATTTAATTTAATTTATTTTATTTTTTATTTTTTTTTTTTTTTTTCATTCTCATAACTTCTAATATAACTTTATTTTATTTTTTTATAGAAATATATTTATATTAGCAACAGACCAATATACCATAGTTATGCAACAAAGACCGTTTTATCAGATAGTGAAATAATCTATAAAAAAAGAGTTTGTAATTCTTTTTATTTTTTTTATAGTTTTTGCAGAATAAGTGATAAACTTTTACTACATATTTTAAAAGAATTTAAAGAAAATAAATTATTAAATGAAATTTTTCAGTTTAATGAAGAAGAAATGGAATTTTATTCTCAAAAATTGAATTCATTTTTAACATATATAGATTTAAAAAAAAAAGATGATGATTATTTTAATAAATTAAAAAGTCAAATAATATATAAATTAATATCAAATTTAAAAATTTTAATTTTCACAACACAAATCCATACCATTTTTAATAACAAAAGCTTACTAATACATGAAGAATATTTATATAGAATTGTAAAAGTAAATTTTGAAAATGGTAAAAGTCTTTTCTTTATAATAAGTGATAAATCATTTGATAATTTTTATGAAAATCTAAACAAATACTATTGTAAAAAACCAGCAGTGATTGGAATACAGAATATTAGTACTTTGAAGGGAGAATATTTTCATTCATGCAAATATATCAATTTTGTTGATAATAAAGAAAATAATTTTATATTTGTTTCAAAAAATGAAATTAATGAATTTTTTGGTACAGGTATTGTTCATGTGTCTCCTTCTCACGGTTTTATAGATTATAATTTATATTATAAAAGAAATAAGCTAAAAAAGGTATATTTAAGTGAAAAACATTTTTTAGAAATAAAAAAAAAAAAATCAAATGATTACTATTATGATAACTTGCAGTTAAAAAAAAGACAACAATGTGATACAAGTAGGAATTATATGATTTATAATATTCTTAATAAGAACACTAATCATATAATAAACTATAAAACTTTAAATAAGAAAAAAAAAAAAAAAAAAGAATTTCCTTTGGATGTTATTAACCAAAACGTTATTGATGAAAATGATGATTTGAAAGAAGAATATAAGCAAATAATTATAAAAAATATAAAAAATAATATTCATTTGATGAAAAATAATGAAAATAATTATGAAGAAAACATATTAAGTAACTTGCAAAATAATAAAATAAATATAAATAAAAAGGATACACATTTATTATTTTTTTATTCATTTTATCAAAATATACTTTTTTATTTTCCATATGAACATTCATACACATTCGACTGGAGGTCGCACACAACTGTTCATATAAAGTCACTATTACAAATTTATATAGATATTGAAAAAGTGAAAAACGATTTATTTTTTAAAAGTATAAACAAAATAAAATTTATTAATAATCATAATAAAAAAAATTTGATAAAAACTATAAAAGACAGAAAAGAATGGTGCTTAAGTCGTCAGAAATATTGGGGATTGAACATTCCTTTAAAGGATATTAATTTAAATAATGAATATAAAATTAGTTTTAAAAAACAGATAATGGATGTATGGTTTGATTCATCTATCTCATATTTATACGTTTTTTATATGCTTAAGCATATTTTATTTAATATTTATTTTAAAAAAATAATTTTATCACTTAAAAATATGAATTCAAATTCAACAGAAAAAAGAAAAATAATTTTACTAAAAAAGTATAGTAATAAAAATAATTTTTCATTTAATATATATGATATTTACGATGAGATAATGAAAAATAAAAACAATAACTTTAATTCTTCCAATCAGAAAGTTTTTTTAAAAAATATATTAGAAAAAAAAAAAATATTTGATCCAACTAAAATGTATAAATGGGTAATAAATCAAATTTACAATAAAAATAACTATTTTAAGTTACAAAATTTGAACGATATACTTTTTTTAAAAAAGAAAAGGCACAAAGAATTTTTTAAAAATTCTCCTGAGATACATTTATGTTGTGAAGGAATTGATCAAATAAGAGGATGGTTTCAATCCTTTTTTTTTATTTTTTTTTCTTTGAATACAATTAGAAAAAAAAAACTGAAACATTCAATTAATAATTTACCTATTAAAAATGTTATCATACATAATTATGTGGTTGATCAAAATAATATTAAAATGAGTAAAAGTTTAAATAATGTTATAACACCTAGAGAATTATTTTTAAAGTGTGATCGCGATAAAAGTAAAAATCCCATTTATATTAAAACAAGTAAAGATAAAAAAAAAAAAAATAATTCTATCAAGGAAAATATAAGTAATAAAAATACAAACAGAGAAACATTAAACAATAATATAGAGAATAGAGATAATAAAAGAGTAGATAAAATAGTAGACGAAAATCCAACTGATAAAAGTACAGATAATGAAAGTTTAATTAAAAAACCAATAGAAAAAAAAGGAGAGCTAAATAAAAGGTTTAATGCAGACATAGTTCGATTATGGTTATGTTGTTACAATTTTGTTAATAAAAATGTAGCTGTTAGTTTTGAAATATTGGAAAATATAAATAAATATATTTACTTAAAAATTTACAATACTTTTAAATTTCTATTGAATAATATATATGATTTAAATTTTTCTGATAATAAATTAAAATTCAGAGATATTCAAATTATGGATAAATTCATTTTATACAAAAAAGATAATTTAATTAAACATTGTATAAATGCTTACAAAAAGATAAAATTACAGTTGGTTTTAAAATTTATTATGAATTTTATATATAGAGATTTAGCTATTTATATTGATTATAGTAAAGATAGATTGTATATAAGTAAAAAAAATTCTATAAGTAGAAAAAATTGCCAAAAAATTTTTTATAGAATATTAATTGGACTATTAAAATTGTTAGCTCCTATAATACCACATTTATGTGAAGATATATATTACAATATTCAGATTTTAAAAAAAAAAAAAAAAATAAAATCAATTTTTTTACTTCAATTTCCAGCATATAAGAATTATAAAGAAGTTAATTTAGATATTTTATTTTTAATAAAATACTACATTCATAAGCAAATAAATCTTAACTTTTCAAACTCGTTACAAGCAATAGTCTATATTTATTCGGATAATAAGGATGTTATAAATTTATTAAAAAAATTCTTGAAAACGTCAAACCCTTTGGAAAATTTTACCAATTATGACGATTTACGTTTTCTCTTCAATATATCTAATATTTATATATGTAATGATTTAAGTGAAATTGAGAGTAAAGATAAAAATTATAAAACATATAAAATTCCTCCCTTAAATTTTAAACATATGAATGAAAATCAAAATTTGGATTTCTTTTTTCAAAAAAGTTACAAAAATAATTTTCAAGACATGATAAATTTTGATGAAAAATCAAAATATTCATACATTCATATAGGAATAACTAAAACTGAATCAAAAAAGTGCTCCAGGTATTTTTGCTTTACTTTTTTTTTTTTTTTTTTTTTTTTTGGTTAGCTATATGCAATTTTAATATGTTCATAATTAATGTTTTATTTTTCTTTTATTTATCTATTTATTTTATTATTATTATCTTTAATTTTATTTTTTATTTTATTTTCTATAAATTACAGATGTTGGATGTATGGAACGGTCAGTTTATTCGAAGGAGAATTTTTTTGTCCCAGATGTTTAGATGTTATCAAAACATATTTTAAGTAATTTATTTTTTTTTTATTTTATTTTTTTTTTTTTTTTAGTTTTAATACCTTTTTTATTATTTAAAATTTGATAAAACTATTTTGATTTTTAAAACAATTACAACTATGACATTAAAAAAAAAAAAAAATAATAAAATATTTATAAATAAATACTTCTTTGCATATAAAATTAATAAATAATAAAATAAGTAAAAAAATATAAGTTTAAAAACAAAATTAAACATAAAAAATAGAATAAATTAATGAAATTTTAGATTCAGTGACAAAAAAATTTTGTTCAAGAATTTAGTTGCCCTTATCTTCATTTAAGCGCATTCTTTTTTTTTCCTGATATAAAAAAAATAAAAGAAAAGAAAATTAAAATGAAACTAATTTATACAGGATATGTAAATATATATATTTTATTGTTATTTATTTATTTCATTAATATGTATAAATATTTTATAAAATGTGAATTGAAAAAAATAACTATTTCTTTTTATTAATAAATTAATTTTTATTATATATTTAGGATTCCATATTCATATATATAAATATTTATACATATTTTCACTTATTTATTTTTCTATACTAACCATTAATTGATTTTGAATATCAAAATAGCTTTGAAGATACTGATATTGTTTTAATTTTAGTTTCAACTTTCTTGTATTAATTAATACAAGCTCTTTTAAAAGATTTTTTAAATTGTGATCTTCTAAGTCTGCTAACTGTTTTGCCCTTTTTTTCGATGAGTTAATGACTGTGTTATGAATCTCTTGCATATCTTTTTCTTTTAAAATATATGTAGAGAAATTTTTTTTAAAAGAATCATTAAAATTAAGTGGTACGTAATTTGAATTACTAAAATTATTATTTTCTTGTGAATTTTCTTCTTCACATTTTACATTATTTTCTGCTTTTTCAATGTGTGCATTTTTATTTTTTATAATTTCATTTTTTAACATTTCATTTTTATCTGTATTTTTTATTTTTTCTTCATTTTTTTCCTTATTGTCTTTTTCATTATTAAAAGTTAAAAAAGACAAATTTTCTTTATTTGCGTTATCACTATTTTCTTCTACATTTCTCGAAACATTTTTTTCCTCATTATTGTGTTGTAATCTTTCTGAACAGTTATCATTTATCTCATTATTTATTGATATATTATTAACATTATCATTACATAATTTATATTCTTCATTATTTTGAATATCTTTGTATTCTTTTTTTTTTTTTTCTCCATTATAATTATTATTTTCTTTTTTACATTCCTCTTTTTTTATATCTTCTCCTATCTCATATTTTGGTTTTATATCTTCTTCTAATTGTATTTTGTGTTTTACTTCATATTTATCTACGTCCTCATTTTCGTTAGTAGTCATATAGCTTTTTTGTTTGGCTAAAATAAGATCAACAATCTTTTTTGCTGCATATGCTCCGATAAAGGGACTAATATGATTACATATAAATGATAAAAGAGATAAGAGGGTATTATTTTGTTTAAATGAATTAAATGAAAAATTGTTAATATTAAAAATATTATCTAAATCAAAATATGGATTTGATAAAGGCATAGATATAAATTTATAGATACAATCATATGGTGTTTTTGTTTCGATAAATTGACTTATTTTTTCCCAGTTATTTTTATATTTGCATATTCCTTCAATTAATTTTTCAATTTCTGTTATATTCCATTCACTATTTGAGACATTATATGGTACATTAACTTTGACAAAATTTGAACTGTTCAGAATATTTGGATATTTGCTTAAATTATAACAATTACTACACCAAATACATTTATCTAAGACTCCATATGAAATTTTTTTTATATTATTTGGTTTCAGAATGTAATAAACATATACACACATTTTCCCACAACTAACACATTTATATACCTTATTATCAGTTTCCTTTGTTATAATATTTTCTTTACTCTCATACATTTTGCTTTTTTCATCAAATGAACCTAACTTTTTATCAGTATCTTCTAAATGTATAGATTTCTTTAAACATTCATAAGTATTGTTTAAATTATTTGAAATAACATCATTTTTATTTTCATTATGTTCATTTCTTGTTTCTGTTGTATTTAAATTATTATTTGCCATAAGAGAAATATAGTCATCAGAGTTATTTAAGTTTTGCATAGAATTAAAATAGTTTTTTGTATTAAAATTATTTTTCACCGATTCTGTGTAATCAGATTTATTGTAATTTAAATTAAAAGAATTAATTAAATTATTATTAGCATAATTTATATTATTGATAATATTTAAATCATTTGTGTTATTTAATGGGTTCATGTTATACATCACATTATTCTCATTACTACATGTAGGAATATTATTTGATAAACTATTATAAACATTTTTATCATTACATTCATTTTTATCATTTTCATTTTTCATTATTTTCATATTTGGATGAAAACGTCTATTATTATTGATATATGGTAAGTTATTATTTATAAATTTTGCATTATCGTAATTTTCTTCATTTATATTAGAAAAATAGTTATGCATATTATCCTTATCTATAAAATTAATATTATTATCACCATTATAATAATTTGATTTAATTTCTTCATTATTCAGATTTTTTTTTTCTAAAGTTTTACTACAATTTTTTTCGTTTACATCTTTTTTATTATCAATATCACGATTTCCCAATTTTTTATGCATATTATTAATTTCTTCAAAATTTAAATAATTCATATTTTTAATTTCATCGTATTGAGGATCATATTGCATATTAATTAATTTATTGTTTTCTAAAATAAAAAATAAAACTTCAATTAAATTCTTATTTGATTTTATATTTGATAAACATTTTTCTAGTGATAACAATTGCATAGGTTCGTTTTTATATAAATTTATTATCTCATTTTTTACTCTATGTATTTCTTTATCAAATTCATCTGATTTAACAATTTCATTATTCAAAAATGAATAAATATATTTTAAATCTTCCTCATTTATCTCATTTTCATATTTACTACTAAAAAATGGAATTTTATATAATCGGTTTGTTTTATTATTTGTAATATTATCTATATTATTATTATTTATTTGACTTATATTATAAGAATCAATAGTCATTGATTTTACATTATTTAAATTCATATTATGAATACTATTTCTCATATTTGTTGGTTTTTTTATAACAATATTTCTTAAGAATGTGTTGTGTGGATGCATTAAGGAATTATCATTTGTTTCTTTCAAATATATTTTTTTATTATTTTCGTATTCTTCTGAATTATTTATTTCTTTATCATTATTTTTAAGATGACTGTTTTCAAATTCTCCTATTTCTGTACTGTTCATATTTTTTTGTTGAACATTATTTACGCTAGTATAAGGATATGAACTTTTTATGTCATTGCTATGTATATTTTCATTTAAGCTCATTTCATTTTGACATACATTCCTATTTTCAGCTAAAATATTAGCATTATATTGAGAGTATGTTAAACTATTAGGCACATTTTGATCACCTCCTTGAAAATAATTTGTAAAACTATTTTGAATGTTATTCATTAAATAATCAGTATGTACTGGATTCACAAAAATCTCTTGTAAATTATTCATAGGAGGGGGACTTTTTGACATGAACTGTTCAGAATCATTTTGATTAATTTTAATTATATTTGTATCATTTGGTAATTTATTTACATTATTTACTTCCGAACTTTTTATATTATTATTACTTAATTTATCTATATTTTTTAATGAACACTTAGATATTTCTTGTGGTATATTTATATTTTCAGCTAAATCATCTGTATTGGTTGAATTATTCGTGTTCTTCACTATATTATTTATATTATATTGATTTATGTTTTGAAAGTTTTTTTTATCATCATTGTTACTATTTTCACTATTACTAATATTAATTTCATTATTGCTATCATTATTATTGTTAATATAAATGCTATTATTTTTCATATTTATATCATATGTATCATAAAGGTTTTTGGTATTTTCTTCATTTTTACAAAAATTATTAAAATCATCCTTACTATTATAAGGAAAATCAAAACTATTTTCATTTTTTACTTGCTTTAAATTATTAATTTCATCTTTTATTTTAACATCATTCATTGAATTATTTGGATTTAATTTACTTATGGAATAATTCTCTTCATTTTTTAAAATATTTTCCTTATCTTCATTAGTATTTATATTACAAGGTACATTATAATCCATTTCATTCAAAATTTACTATTGATTTTGTTCCAATTGTTCTTAATACTTTTTAAATAATGTTTTTATCTTTTATTTTTTTTTTTTTTTTTTT